GTGGAGCGATAACATGTCTACACTATATATGTGGGGACATGGTCTTAGTAACCATCTGTCACAGAAACAGACTAACTTCAACCAACAGATTGCATCAAACTCATTTTCTAGACAAAAAACTGAGGCTTGACAGGAAAGGAAGTATCCACCAGAGAGAGGGGATCATGAGCTCCCGTAATTCACTTAGCCCCCGGGGTCCTACACCCCTCATCCTTCTTCCTCTCTGTGTTTCAGGGCATTGTTCCTTCAGTTTGCACGAAGTTGGTTGGAGGTAGGCACCATGGGTTTGATTGATACAGCAATTTGCATCTCAAGGCATCGCTCGATAAATACAGTGCAATGAAAGGCCACTCTCTCACAAACCAATTTCCCCCTCTGGGCTGACTTTAGAAGCTCATTGATGTCACTTCCTTCCTCAGTCAGCAAGTGAATTTTCTTTAATTCTCAAGACCAGCTGTCCATGCTGTCAACAGAAAGTTATTAAAATTCCTTTAAAGTGAATAAAAATAGCCTAAAAGCAAATGTACTTGGAAACAGGAAAGAATCAGTATGCAAAGTCCACAAACCTCTGAGCAAAATAATGTTGATCCAGCCAGAGATTTCAAACATTGTATATTCAAGATGCTAGAAAAAATAATTAAAAGATGCTAAACCACATACTTCTTAATCTTTTATTAGCAAAGGCTTATGCAGTTACAATTTATCCCCTAAATTCCATTCCTCTTTTTCAAATACGATTTGAATAAACTTGGGAATGACTTAGGTTTTCCTTAAGTGGGATTCCCTACTTTTATCTTGCATCGGCCAGGGAACATGTACATCTGCACCAGCCCAAGACCATCCATAAGCAGGAGAAAAAAAAATTATCATTAGCGGCAATCATAACTACTAAGGCCACAAAATAATTATATAATTATATATTTTAACTCATTACAGTTTTAATAGCTCAAGGGAGGAGATGATTTTTCTTATGTTCAAATAACTGTAACTCACAAAAATGGTCTGTCTGGCTTCTGAGTCCCTGTGATCCTCAAGCGACTGACCTCAGCAACTAGAAACCTGCCCTGTTATCTTCTGAATCAGCCCTTGCCTTACCCCTTGCTCCCCTAGCACGGCACCCACCTTGTTGTCTGAGCGGCACCCAACCTGGTAATTAAGTCCGTCCAAAATATGGAAGTGTTTCCTGCCACTTCTACCACCAAGGGTCACCTGCCTCTTTCTCATTTGGACAGATGACCCAAATCCTGGACTCACTCAGACCCTTTGCCAAAGAAACCTGTATCCAGACTGTCTTGTCATCCCAAGATATTTGTGTCTTGGGTTCCTACCTGTAGCTGGAGCCAGGGCTCTCCCAAGTGTGTTACTCTTACAGTTCTGGAGGTCAGACATTCAAAATGGGTTTCAGTAGACTAGAAGAAAGGTACAGCAAGACTGCATACCTTCAGGAGTCTCGAGGGGAGAGTCTGCTTCATTCTCTCTTCCAAGTCTAGAGGCTGCCCACCTTCCGGGTTCAGACCTCTTCAGGCTACAGCATCCCTCTGACCCCTGCTTCCATTGTCACATCCCCTTTCATCTGTCTTTGATTCTCCTACTTCTCTCTTACAAGGACCCTAGTGATGACGTTCGCATCCCGATAATCCCGGATAATCTTCCCATCTCAAGACCTTTAACTTAATCGCATCTGCAAAGTCCCTTTGCCATGTAAGGTACCATATGCACAAGGTCCAGAGATTAGAATATGGACATTGGGGGGCGGAGGGGCATTATTGTATTCTATTCTGTTTACCATAATTGCCATGTCAGTTTTCATAACCTATAGATACCTTCATTTTAATTGTGGGGACAAGCCCATAGGGCTCCCTTAATAACTTCTTTTTAAATTCTGTTCCTTTTCCCCACCAGTATCCACAGTAACACCAGTTACTCTCTCTCTCTCTCTTTAAATTCTGTTCCTTTTCCCCACCAGTAACACCAGTATCCACACGCTCCCCTTGATGAAAACCTAGGGCTTGCCCTCGCTCCCTGCTCCTGTACTTGCCACATCCACTCAGTCTCCAGAACTTACCTCAGAAAGACCACCAGCTCCACACATCCCCCCATCTCTGTTCTCCCTCCTGGGCTGAAACCCTCATCCCTGCTGCCTGAGGACTGGACATGCTTTTTGCTCTCTCTGCCACGTGTCTTCCGCTCACCGTCACCCCCTCCTCCACACCATCACCAAAGTCCTCTTTCTCAAGCACAGCTTTGGTCACCTCACCTCGCCTGCTGAAAAACCACCACTGGCTTCCCACAGCTGGAAAAACCTTTCTCAACTTCACCTCAAGCCAGCAATGCCCCAAAGCTCTTACCCTTTTCCCATAGCCCCTACTTCCCACCTGCTCTGGTATATGCTCTCACTCTATAAACCACTAGAACATCTCAAGATTCATCCAAATACACCCTCTTCTTGCCTCTGAGACTATCTTTCCGGCCACAACTCCCTGGAATGCCCTTCGCTTATCCTTTGCCTGCAAAATGCATACTTACTTCATTCTAATCCCCCCAAATCTGGACAGGAGGAGATATTGTGAACTCTTTGTTGTAGATGACCCAACAGGCAGGGCCTTAGTTAACTGGCCCCAAATCAAACATCTAGCAAATGGCAGGGCTGTGATTAGATACCAGGTTGTTGTCTGCTCCGTTTGTTAGAGTCTAGCGGGCTGCTGCATTATTAGATGATGATGGTTTGATTGTTTGGGCTCTCACTTTTCCCTAGAATTCCTTCAGAGTTCCCTTGTTTCCTAAGGAAACAGAAGGAAGGCTTTGTACTGCGGCTGCCACCCCAGGCTCCCCTCCAGCCTATTCTGCAGTTAGCAACAAGCGTTGAGTGGTCTTTTAAAAATGCACATTTAACCACACCATTCCAGTGTCCCAACCCACACCCTGGCCTAAATTTCCTTAATAACTGACTTCCCACTGCTCTTGTAACAATCATAAATTTCCCAGAAGTGGTCTATGTTACTTGCTGCCCCACCTCACATTATACCACACACCCTTATTTCTCCACTCTGGCCATCATGGCTTCCTTTCCATGCCTTGGACCCACTATGCTCCCCCTTTGTCGCATGGCTTTAAACATGACCTTCCTTCTGCTGGATGTTCTCCCTCTTCTAGGCAAGACTGATGATCTAATTCAAAAAGCCAAGCTTTTTCCACAAATCATGTTGCCTCTTCTTTAAAATCCTGCATATAATCCAACAAAAGAGATCTAACTATTAAAACATATCAAGAGAATCTCATTGGGCAATGCCATTTTAAAAAGGAAGAAAATTATTTCTTATTATCTGAAGACTCCAAGATTGGCCCCTGGCATTTTGTAACAGTGGCATGATAATCCACTCTTAACGCTGTCATTCCATTTTCTATGCTCCTTACACTTCTACTGTATCTCAAATAACACCTTGCCTGGTACTGAACACTTAGTAAAATGTTCAAATATACTTATTTTTGGTTGATTAATTGATTGGTAAATATCAATTATTCATTACATGTCTTAAAAAAAAAGTTTGGCGGTTTGTTAAACAACTAAACCTGCAACTATCATACAACCCAACAGTTGCACTCCTGGGCATTTATCCCAGAGAAATAAAGACTTGCACTCACAAAAAAGCCTGTACACAAATGTTGGTAGATGCTTTATTCATAATAGCTAGAAACTACCCAGATGACCTTCTGTGGGCAAACAGTTAAACACACGTTGGCACGTCCATACCATGGAATACTACTCAGCAATGAAAAGGGAGGAACTCCCAGGAATACACAAGCCAACGTGGACGAATCTCTGGAGAACTCAGCTGAGTGAGAAAAACTGACCTCAAAGGTTATGAAATGGAGGATTCCATTTATGTAACATTCTTGAAATGGCAAAATGATAGAAATGGAGAACAGAGTAGTGGTTGCCCAAGGCTAAGAGGAAAGAGGGGGTGGGTGGCTCTAAAAGCACAACGGGAAGAATCCCTGCGGTGATGGAAATGCTCTGTATTCTGACCAAGTCAATGTCAGCATCCTGGTTGTGATTTTGTGCTTTTGATTTTCCAGATGTTACCATCGGGGGAAACTGGGTAAAGGGTACCCAGCACCAGTCTGTATTATTTCCTAAAAATGCAAGTGACTGCACAGTTATCTTATTTGAAATTTTAAAAGGACATGTTTAATCAAGTATGTATCATACCAAGATGTTCACAAGCACATATTCTCTGTAGTGCCACAAAATTTCTTCTTTCCCCTCTTCCTTGGTTTGTTGATTTGTTGATCATTTATTATTACTAGGGATTTTTTTTTCCTTTTATTTAAGACATAAACAATACTGATCACTTTCAGGCTGTTTTCACCACGAAGCTTTACTCTTTTAGTGACTTTATTCGTTATATATCCCTGTTACCTTTCATATGTTACTCTGATTTTTTTTTTTGTCCTGACCAAGATACCTTGCAGAAAACTGTTGGTTTTCACTTTAATCTCTGCAGCACCATAACAACAAAGTATAATGATGTCTTTATTATCTGCATGGGTAAGAGAAAAGGTTTTAGAAGTAGCACTTTGCCACCTGCCACATTAGAACTCCTCGTCTAGTCCTCAGGGTTCCATGAGCTCTGTGTTGGTCTTGTCCTTGAACAGCTTGTCATCGTTTGGAAAACTTGGGCTATTGTTCAAGTTTTTCTTCTGTCCTTTCCTTCTCTCCACTCCTCTGCCAAAGTTTCATGAATTTTGGGGGTAACACCCTTACCGAGTGTCCACTCTATTCTCTAACGTCTTTGCCTCATGTGGTTTATTTAGGATTTGGCTTTTTTCCCCCCTCCCAATTATTGGAGTGATTGCAAAGGTCTATATCGTGATACAAGTGTTTGCTTAAAGAGCCCATGACTGCTTTAGAATTTTGAGTGAGAACAGAGCAGGATCAGTACTGCATTTTATTCATTGTCACCCTTTAATGTCACATTTATTTTTGCTTTCTCTTTCAGTGACTAGAGGAAAAATCCAGGAACGTATCACGGACCAGGTATTTCTTCCCTTCTCATAAATTGTAGAGTTATACGTTAGATGTTAATAGTCAAGCATTTGTAAATATGGAAAAAAAGGTTTTGCTAATTATTAAGTGTGAGCAATATACATGCTGTTGGTCCTGAGAACAAGTACACTGGTCAGACATGGATGATCATGTACTTTCCTTGTCTCCCCATCTCCTTCTTTCCCTCCACACACCCACAGAAGGAAACAGTGGAGAAGTAAGACACTGTCAGTTCTGATTTGCACGCCTTCCTCTGAACATATCATGACCTCTGCATTGATACTATCATGGCTGCAAATAGATACGTGTATCTATTTTTCCCTCAACTAAGGTGACTCTCCTGTGTGATCTTCCCAGGTTTTAATTTGCCCAGTGGAAAGTCGCTCCCTCCCAAACAGTTCAGAACAGAACCCCTTGCAGGAGAAACATACAAGTTGGCTTTCCATTGTGGTCTTTGATTTCTATGCAGCACGGTTAGCCAGCGTCTTCCTGTCTACTTCACTGTTTTCTTACCCAGTCTTGTTACAGACTTATTTTTATTTGCTGGTAGATGGAGTCCCTCCGTGTCACTGTTGAAGGGAGTAGACGACAGCCACCCATGAAACCAAGGGAGGCCTTCACCAAACCCTGTCTTGCCCTGCCCCACCTCCTCTTTCCATAGGTGATTCGGGCTGTCCTTCCCCAAAGGCTGCCCGTGCCACCAAACTCAGAGAGCTCAGGTTCCACTCACAAGCACAAATCTCCATGTCCTTTTTTTTTTTAATTTTTGTTCTCCTCTGGCATAAATTATAACTCACCCTTGCCAACGCGAAGAGTGGTAAGTCTACTTTTAAACCAGTCAAGAGTACCTTTTCCAAAGTCTTCTAATGCCTCCCAAATAAGTTCCAATTCTAGTCCTCATTGTCATTCTACCCCAATTAAGTTCTAGCTTTACCTAATCTGGGCCAGATGCCCTGTAACTCATCAAGCTCTAAAAATAGTTAACTAATTAGGCTAATGAAAGTAATGCAAGTTCAATAGGCAAAATTTAAGGCTGATCAGGTACCATTTTGCTTTTGCATATAATTGGACATGTTGGCAGCTATCTTAATACTTAAAACTGCTGCCATTGCACAATGGCAAAATCAGTTAGCTGTTTCAAATAGTTTATTTGCTTTTTGAACTTCATTTCTTGATCGCTGTATTTTCAGTTATTTGTATGTGCTCAGGTGGTTTGGTAAAGCTGAGCAACAGTTAACCCGTAAAGTTTATTGCTACCATTTTATTTGTTTAAGTCACATAGGGAATACTTTTTCTTATAAAGAGACCTGTTTTCTTTCTTAGGTTAACAAGTTAAAGCAACTGACCAAGACCTATATTAAGGCTACCTCTTATGGGCAGATTTTCATTTCCTATATTTTCCTTCTTTTTACACTTGGCTAAACTAACAGAATATGTGGACCCCAAAATAGAACACCAAATATTTACTTGTAATCTGACACATTGATTTGTTGCCAAATGAAATCATAATGGTTTCCAGTCCCAATAAGAGAGTGAAATTCTTTGGACTTTAACATAATAAGGAAGGGTCTTAAGTGTATTTGTTATAGAAGGAAGGGTCTTAATATTTGTTATTCAGTCATTCTCAGAACAGACAGTTGTGTTGTTCCATCAGTGTCTGCAGCTGGTATTTCTAATTTTACAATAGAATTTCTATTCTTTCTTCTCCCAAGTAGAGAAGAGCTCTCCACTCTCAAGAACACACTGACAATATAATCCAAAGAGGCACCTTACACCTCTAATTTATCGATTTTGGCAAAGAACCAAGAAATGAAGGCATACCCCTTCTCTAAATCACTCTGCCACCCCCCAAAATTTGGCTTTTAAAAAACAAATTTGAAAACTCACTTTGGATAATCAATACAGTGTTCTTTATCAGAAAATAATGTAAAACGGAGCACTGTTGAGCATTAATCTTTGCCCCTAAATCCTTCCCAGTGGGCACTATAGATTGTGTAATTAAATTGAAATTGAAAGTCGAGTCCTTTTTTTTTTTTTTCTTTCCCCATTAAGCAAACTACGAATTGCACACCAACGTGAGAAATCAGGGCTGGAGTGGATGGAAAGCTCCAGCCTCCTGGCCAATAGCCAGCATGCATTTTTAGCCGACAGCGATTTTACCACACCTGAGCTCTGAGAACAAACAACTATTTGAGTTCTCTGGAGGGAATGCTGGATTCTTTCCTGTGTAATTCACTGGGGAAATTAGTATGCTTTTTTAAAGTAACTTGTTAACGCAGCTTGTTTACGAGAAGAGGACAAAAACGAGCAGTGAACCGCTTGGCCGCTTATGTCCCAGAATGGGATGAAAGCATGACCCATTTTTTCAGCTGTCTCTTTGGCAGTTCAGTGCTGCAACCATTTCCCTCTGAAAAATGTTCTTTCTAGAGATGAAGTCTCCAGTAGGTTTTCTGAATAATTTTTACTAGGGGGGATTAAAGACGATACCTTAAAATGCTACCAAAAATACCTTTGAAACCCCAGCTAGAATACGGTCCATACAGAATGGGAATATGGTACGTAAAACCTTTTCACTTCAACTTGGAAACTGCCTTCTCATAGAGTAGACAAGGGAAACCTGTAGTAAATTAATACCTTCTGTGTATGCCTTTTTGTATGGTAGATGATTGAAACCCGTTGTGAATTAATACTTTGTTTTTACACGGCGGGATGACAAAGGGGGGCTCCATTTCTTGTGGAGAGGATATGCACGTTGGGGAGAACATCCCCACCCAGGCGCTGGCTGGGATGAAGGCTTGCCTTCACTGACAGCCTGGTTGAGAGAGAGCCAGCCCTGTGGGGTGCCATGGAAAGCGTGAGTTCGTAGTAACAAACTCCCACCAACTGGGTGCTTTCAAACAACAGAAATGTGTTGTCTCAATTCTGGATGCTAGAAGTCCAAAATCCAGTGGTTGACGGGGCGCTGCCCCCCGCCCAAACCTGTCAGACCTGCCCGTCCTTGCCTCATCTTGGCTGCTGGGGGCGGCCGGCCATCTTTGGTGTTCCTTGACTTCCAGCTTCAGTCTCTGACTCTGTCCGCACGTCGCATACTCCCTGTGTGTCTCTTCTCCTCTTCTTTATTTTTTTTTTAAGATTTATTTTATTTATCTGAGAGAGAAAGAGAAAAAGAGAGAGTGAGTGGGGGCAGGAGCAGAGGGAGAGAATCTTCAAAGCAGATTCCCTGCTGAGCACAGAGCCAGACTTGGGGGGTCGATCTCATGACCCCGAGATCATGTCCTGAGCCAAAACTAAGAGTTGACACTTAACCAACTGAGCCACCCAAGTGCCCCATCTCATGTCTTCTTATAAGGACACCAGCCATAAGGGGTTAGGGCCCATCCTAATGATCTCATCTTAACTTAATGACATCTGCACATACCCTTTCCAAATAAGGTCACACTGATAGGTATCAGGAGTTAGGACCTGCACATAGCTGTCTGGGGGACACAGTTCAACCATAAAAAGCTGGGGACCTGTAAGTGATCCTTGATCCCATCTCTCCCTCCGACCACTGAGCACTTCTGGTGTGACCTCCCGACGCCCCTCCATCCAGCTCCCCCTACACCCAGCCCGCCTCCCCTGCTTCCTCCAGACCCTCATCTTGCTTGCTCCCTGTGGCTCTCCTGCTTTTCCATCCACCTTTCCATTCGTCTTCCATGCTGCTCCTCTTTGCTTTCTAAAATACCAACCCTCTGTATCTCTCCTCTGCTGCAAAACAAAAATCAAACAGACACACCTCCCCCACGTTTAGCAGTGATGACGACCCCTGCCTGTGCATTGTACTCATACACGGAGCTTTGTTAGCACAAACCCTGAGATGGCAGTCCTAACCCACCCCAAGAAATGCTGGATCGGGAGTTGGATTCAGACCTAGCACAACCCTTTGACCAGGCCAAAAGGGGTCATATGCTTTAGAAGACCCCAGACATCACAAACGCAGAAATGCAAAGACTACTTTTTTTCTTTTGAGCTTGGTGTTTTAAAGTTTGATACTCAGTGGAGCGCACATAAAATAGCATGGCAAGACAGAGCAGCTGAGTTGGGCCCTCTCGTCCAGTGGGGTGGGGTTGGACTGAGAGAGAAGAAATCAGCCTGTGCCCTTTGAAACCAAGGACGGAGGGACTGTTGTAGCTTCAGGAGAGCCACCCCTCATCCTCTGAAGTGGGAGGATGTGGAGGCAGACAGCGTCCCTCAGGTAAGTGTACTTCTGCCCTTCCCTCTGCTTTGGAGATAGGTGGAGTGGGGGGGGGGGTACACTTTCAGGCGGTACTTAGAACTGCCTGCCAATCCCAAGGTCAGAAAAGTGAGGTATGAGGCAAGTGAACGCACTCCCCACCCCCGCCCAGGGAACCTGAAGAGCTTGAGTCATCCACTTCCTTCATCTCTGGCCTGCCTATGGCTTCTGCCCTGTCTTCCTCCTGAAGGTTCACGGACCACTCAGGTCCTTAGTGGCAGGGTGGCTCCCGGGGAGAATGGGTCTCCTATAGCCTCCAGGCCCAGAGCAGTCCCTCCCAACTTGCTGCAGACCCTGGGTGGAAATGAGGGCCCCGTACTGGGGGTATTGCTTACTTTGAAACTTCTAAATATTTAGACACACAGTATGTGGGCCTCCATTCATACTCTTGCTCTGGGCCCAAAAATGTTGGGAATGATTCTGCTCAGACACCTGCAGCTTTAAAACTTAATAGGTGATTCTCATAAAAAGCCCAGGTTGAACCCACTCATATATCATCTATAGGATAAAACCCTAACCTTTGAGTATGAAATCCAAGGCCCTGTGACCTCACAATCCTTTGGACAGCATGCTCCCCACCTCCCTAGACTTATTTCCCATTCTGCTACTTTATGTAAAAGTACTGTGTTATATAAAACCAACATACTAACCCCTTTTCCTGCACATGCAAAATTTACTCATATTCCAAGGCCTAACTTAAATACCGCCTCTTCCACGA